TATTAAGACACACGATCGTGGACTAGTTCAACCACCGCTTGTTGTAATTTACATCATACTAACTTAATACTTTCCTTACAGATAAATGCATAGTATTTCTCTGGTTCCTTCTAGAGTGGTTACACCCAAAAGACTCAGCCGTGGTAATATTTTAAATTTTTGTTTACTTTGTGTCTTTTATTCTGGATAAATAAACAGCTACAGTTTCAATTAGATAAAATCGTCCAGCTGAGAGGATAAGCCGTAATAAGTCCCGGGTATTGGCCAGGTCCTCAAACACAACACCATCGACGCTGGGATAACAAAACATGGCGTCAAGGTTCATCTGTTATTCGCATTGTTGTTGTTGTTTGTTTAATGAGGGAACTCTCTCTCTCTCTCTCTCTCTCTCTCTCTCTCTCTCTCTCTCTCTCTCTCTCTCTCTCTCTCTCTCTCTCTCTCTCTCTCTCTCTCTCTCTCTCTCTCTCTCTCTCTCCTCTCTCTCTCTCTCTCTCTCTCTCTCTCTCTACTCTCTATATATATATAAAACACCTCACCCCGCCAGGATTCAGACCCACGATCTTATGATTGTGACCGGGGAACGTTACCTCTGAGCCAAGTAAGCCAGTCATGAAAGTCCATGCTTTATTGGGCTAATGAAATTTTATATATATATATATATATATATATATATATATATATATATATATATATATATATATATATATATATATATATATTTCATATAGATCACAATGGAAATGTGGATAAGATAAATCTTGATAAAATCACACGGGAAAAAAACAGCACCGTTGTTTCCCTTTTCGTATTATATATATATACATATATATATATATATATATATATAATAGGTTCTGCATGGTTATATATGGTGTTTTTTTTTATTCAGCCACAACATAACTCCACACGCTCACAACACAACACATCCACCACACACACAACAACACAGTACCGTCAACATCCCGCTCTCTCAACCCATACATAACCGATTACTTCCGAAATTTAAGCGACCACGACCTGACTTCCGACGACCCACCGAAACAAGATCCCTGATGCATTGTTTTTTCCTCCGTACAATTTCCTCACATCAGGAGTTAAAAAGACTATATCCACGAACCTATAACATTAACGTAATTCACTTTATCAATATTACAATTACTACAAGAGATTACGAACGATAAAAAAGAGATTGGGGCCGAATCCCTTTAGAGAACTGGAGCGATGCGACTGAACTATAATGTATCTGATTATATGACATTTAATAGAAATTGTAATAGGGAGAATATCTTAATAATAATAATAATAATAATAATAATAATAATAATAATAATAATAATAATAATAATAATAATAATAATAACAACAATAATAATATTAATAGCCATCAAAATACCGTATTTTTTTTTAATGTATAATGACAACTTTATCAACATCAACATTTACACAATTTACAGTCGCTGAAAATTATATCAAAACTTCTATAAAAACACAAACAAATATTCAAATTTCAAAACCTAAATGAAATGTTAACGCCACCTAACTCACTCCCAAACTCCGGTACACAGAGTTAAAATAAACACTCCCAGCTGACGTGTGTAACCCCCCCCCCAAGTCTCCCACCAACATAATTGTAACTATTTAATATAATAATGTTTAACAAATAGAGTAGAGGATGGTGAAGGCAATATTCTCACCCGTCGACAGTAACATTCCTTTTGGCTGTTTCTTAATTGAGTTTCAAATAATGTTAAGTTATTTTTGGCTCCTGATCGATTTCTCGTGTGTGTGTGTGTGTGTGTGTGTGTTAATGTACTGTCTCTCACACACACACACAGGGGTGATAAAGAACAGAAGACCTGATACTAACACGCTCAAGGAAGGTAAACAAACGTTCCCTCACCACCTCGTCATGTGAGGGAAAACATTCTCCCTTGTGACACATTGCAAGACCTCAAGTGTCAAGATCAGGTGACCGTCAGGTGCGTACCGTCAACATCTTGTAACTTCTGTGACTGTACCGTTGTTTGTAAATATAATTGCAGTTTCATTCGTCGATTTCGTTATGTGGTTTGTTGACTCCAGTTAAGAGGGAGTGAGAGTCTTTGTCTTCGTTCTGGTTGGAGGATTCTGCGTCCCAAGTTGCTGCCGAGACCTGGATGGCGAGAACAACTCACCACGAGAGAGGTTCCTGAAGGCGGTCTGGGTAGAGAGAGGTGGCGGCTACTACTACTACTACTCTCTCTCTCTCTCTCTCTCTCTCTCACCAGGGTAGTAGCTGTAATAGAGTTCAGTGGATCTGATACCAAGTGAAGGACTTCTACGTTGCAGCAACTGAATTTCTTACGACTGCTGTGCCGTCTAGTTCATACTCTGCAGGAACTGGGCTCTTTCATGGTACGGGTGCTGTGACGGTGCCATTTTACAGCAACTAGGCTTTTTACGGTATCTGTGCTGTCTAGCTGTTATCTTGCAGCTGTTGCTCTCGGTGCCGTGAAAGTGTTATCATAACAGCGGTTGGCCTCTTACGGTATTGACGCTGTCGAAGTGTCTTCCTGTAGTGGCGAGCCAGTGGTGGCGGTGCCATTGTGGAAGATCTTAGCGCACAGCTGGTGGTCTCTTCCGACAAGAATGCTGTGAGGGAGCTACTCAGCGCCAGATGGTTCCTAGAGCGTCGCAGATGGTCCTCGTCGTGGAAGTAATGAAAAATGTTAATGCAGCTTCCTGATGAATGAACGAATTTCGCCATGATGGCTAACAAGATTATGTAGTTAAACGAACAACTCAATTAAGGGTAAAGTTGCCAGCAGGGTAATCAATGAATACAAACACTGTTGATGTACTTCATTGCAACACATGAATAAAGGCAACACCCGGACGACACACACACACGAAGGACAAGTAATAATGTGTTTGAATGCGTCATTTACATGTTCTCACGCACCTGATCATGTAAACATAAGCCACAGCATAAACATACAAACGAGTACACAAACACACATACAGAGGTGAAGAAAACGGACTTGCCCGCGTGTTTGTTTACCTCGTGTCTGGCACAGGAACTCTCCCCTCCCTCCCTCCCATCATAACAATAAGATTTAAAGGTAGTTATTGTACTGATGGTTAAGTCACAGTAAGTTAGGTAAAGTATCCTCCCTCTCTCTCTCTCTCTCTCTCTCTCTCTCTCTCTCTCTCTCTCTCTCCAGAAACTTCATGTTAAAAGATAACTCCTCTAACTTAATGAAACCTCCGCCTCTCAACTCTCTCCCAAACTCAACTTGTATTGCTGCCCCCGGGTCTCGCCACTCCAACACTCACAGCCTGACTCTCACCACCACCACCCAGGCAATATTTCCCCCGTCTGACAGTCACAGAAACACTGATCAACTTGTAAGAAATAATATTGGTAACTTTATAGTAAGTCTCTTCTCTATTGACCGAACGAGAAGAATGTTAATCTCACATTCCCACATGAACGTTAACAACACAGTATGTCTTCTGGGCTCTCTAATATTGACGTCTGTATCGGGTTTTTATTTATTTGTTTATTCTTAATTATATACTGATTCTTTGGTTGTGTTCAGACATGGAAAATTAATGTACTGTTGTTGTTGTCCTCGTGTTATTGATGTTGTATAGTATGTTTATTACTATACAACACTAACACGTATATCATTACCACGTTATTACCACCCGACACGCTATCGCCACTACACGCACATACACCACTCACCACCACCACACTCACCACCACCAACTCACCACCACCACGCGCTCACCACCACCACGCCCAACTCACCACCCATACACCACCACCACCACACCCCTCACCACCACCACACCCAACTCACCACCCATACACCACCACCACACCCACTCACCAGCAACCACAGCCCCACTCACCACACGCCCCACACACACACACGTTACCAGCAAGAAATAACCTTGTCTTAACCAGTTTATTCTAATACTTCATGGTAGGTCATCAATTATTCAGGGCAGAGTTTCACTAATTCCCAAAACGATTAACATGAATTTACATTTTTTTCCCAAGTGTATGAAGTTGTTGCTTATAATTAATGCATTCGTAAATATCTTAGTTTTTTTTACACAGAGCTCTTTTAGTTGTTTGGTCAAAATCCTCTAATTGAGTAGTGGGACTGCTTAACAACACACGTTACCATCACCATACATCACACGTCACTATCATACACCACACGTCACCATCGCCATCACACTTCACCACCTTGCACCTGTCCTCACAGCACAGCACACCACACGTCACCATTACACACCACACGTCATCATCATGCATCACACGTCACCATCATGCACCACACGTCACCATCACAAACCACCCGTCACCATCATGCACCACCGTCACCATTACAAAACCACGTCACCATCATGCCACACACGTCACCATTATAAACCACGTCACCTGCATGAACCACACTTCATCATGCACCACACTTCACCATGCACCACGTCACTACCATGCACCACACGTCTACCATGCACCACACGTCACCACCATGCCACACGTCACCATCATGCACCACACGTCACCATCATGCACCACACTTCATCAGACACCACGTCACCATCATGCACCACACTTCACCATCATACACCACACTTCATCATACCGTCGCACCATGCACCACACTTCACCACCATGCACCACACGTCACCGTTACACACCACACGTCACCATCATGCACCACACGTCACCATCATACACCACACGTCACCATCATGCACCATACGTCATCATCATGCACCACACATCACCATTACACAGCAAACGTCACCATTACATACCACACGTCACCATCATGCACCACACGTCACCACCATGCACCACACTTCACCATGCACCACACGTTACCATTACACACCAAATATCACCATCATGCACCACACGTCACCATCATGCACCACACGTCACCATCATGCACCACACGTCACCACCATGCACCATCAGGCCGCCGTCCACTTACTCGATCGCTGGTTCTTGACGAAGTACAGGTGTAGTCTCTCCTTGAAGGTGTTCTCATTAACGCAGTACTCCACCCGGACTCTGTGGACCAACACACACACACATTTTAGATAAACGTACAAGCAGTATATAATAACACAAAAGTATATATAAACACTATTTAAACACACCAATGTATATATTTCTACTATGTAAACATCAATGTATATATACTGTATATATTGATTTATATTTAAGTATCATTAGAATTTGTATAACATGTTTACTTTCATGTTCACTGACTTAAGTTTAGGTAGTAACTTTGTATCTTCTCCTGAGACTAAACTACTGAAGAATAGTTACCACGTGAGAGTCAAGTTACTAAGTTAAAACCAGGGAATTAAGTTGACACAGATCTATAACAGAATTAAGATAAACCAATAATCTTCAGAGTTTACCTGTTGAATTATTACGAGATTTATCCTCACCTACTCCTTACCCCTTTTGAATCTTAATGACCCTAATTTGGATAATTTGTTTTCAATGTCATTTATGGATGTGGGATTTACAGGATCAATAATCCTCTGTGTAAAAGACAAATTTCTTCTGTCTTTAGTGAATTGTTTCTTAAATAACTTGTACACATTTCTTCTCAGTTTGTTGTGGTTCCTCTGATATACTGCAGTTTGTCATTCAATGTTTACAAGGCATCTTCATCTTCTTAAATAAACACTGCAATTATTATGTCTGTTGTCTTCTGTTGTGAGGCCAAGTCGTCTTAGTCTTTCATGATAGGGTTTAAATTCTGTAGCCTTATGACCAAACTTGTTCCGCTTTTTAGTTGTTCTATGGTATTAGAGACTCTTCTCACCCTTCTTTCCTCCCTCCTTTATTCTTTCTTCCTCTCCTCCCTCGTTTTCCTTCCATCTCTAATTTCTCCTTCCTTCCTTCCTTCCTTTCCTGTAGCTCTCCTTTCTTCCTTCTAGCCCTCCTTCCTTCTTTTCTTCCCTCTCTCTTTCCTAACCTCCCTTCCTCTCGCTTGTGGATGTAATAAGGGGAATTTATGTTATGCTTTGTGACAAACACACACACACACGCAAAATGGATGGAAAGAAAGAAAGAAAGAAAGAAAGAAAGAAAGAAAGAACAGATAAATAATCTTCCTTCATTACATAAGATGAAAGAACTGTTTACCTTCCCGACAGTCGTGTAAGTTGAGACATAAGTATAGCCTGAATGAGGGGGCGAAAAATGACGATATTTTCCCCGTTTTCTCTAGATGACGAGATATAAACAACCACTAACTTTACTAAAATATCTTAGTCTGGGTTAAATCATCATACTCAAATGGTTAAACCATCATACTCAGGGTTAAATCATCATACTCAAGGGGTTAAATCATCATACTCAAGCGGTAATTCCTCGTACTAATATGGTTAAATCATCATATTCAAGGGGTTAAATCATCACACTCAAGGGTTAAATCATCATACTCAAGGGTTAAATCATCACACTCAAGGGGTTAAATCATCACACTCAAGGGGTTAAATCATCATACTCAAGGGGTTAAATCATCACACTCAAGGGTTAAATCATCACCTCAAGGGGTTAAATCATCACACTCAAGGGGTTAAATCATCATACTCAAGGGTTAAATCATCACCTCCAAGGGGTTAAATCATCATACTCAAGGGTTAAATCATCACACTCATGTTAAATACACACTCAAGGGTTAATCATCACACCTAAGGGGTTAAATCACCACACCTCAAAGGGTTAAATCATCATACTCAAGGGGTTAAATCATCATACTCACGGGTTAAATCTCACACTCAAGGGGTTAACCAAATACCAAGGGGTTAAATCATCATACCAAGGGTTAAACTACTAAGGGGTTAAATCATCATACTCAAGGGTTAAATCATCACACTCAAGGGAAACATCACACCGGGTTAAATCATCATACTCAAGGTGTACAAATCATCATACTCATAAGCAAATCACCCTCAAGGGTTAAATCATCACACTCAAGGGTTAAATCATCACACTCAGGTTAAATCATCACACCTAAGGGGTTAAATCATCACACCTGGGGTTAACATCACACTCATGTTAAACACACCTAAGGGGTTAAATCATCACACTCAAAGGGGTTAAATCATCACACCAAGGGGTTAAATCATCACACTCATGGGGTTAAATCATCACACCAGGGGTTAAATCATCACACTCAAGGGTTAAATCATCACACTCAAGGTTAAATCATCACACCTGGCGTTTAAATCATCACACTCAAGGGGTTAAATCATCACACTCAAGGGGTTAAATCATCACTACCAGGGGTTAAATCATCACACTCAAGTCAAATCATCATACCCAGGGTTAAATCATCACACCAGGGGTTAAATCATCACACTCAAGGTTAAATCATCACACTAAGGGGTTAAATCATCACACCAAGGGTTAAATCATCACACCCAAGGGTTAAATCATCACACTCAAGGGTTAATCATCACACTAAGGGTTAAATCATCACACTCAAGGGGTTAAATCATCACACTAAGGGGTTAAATCATCACACCCGGGTTAAATCATCACACTCAAGGGGTTAAATCATCACACTCAAGTTAAATCATCACACTCAAGGGGTTAAATCATCACACTCACAAGTTAATCATCATCACACTCAAGGGGTTAAATCATCACACTCAAGGGTTAAATCATCACACTCAAGGGTTAAATCATCACTCAAGGGGTTAAATATCACTCACAAGAAAATCACACTCCAAGGGGTTAAATCATCACACTCAGGCGTTAAATCATCACACCAGGGGTTAAATCATCACACTCAAGGGGTTAAATCATCACACTCAAGGGGTTAAATCATCACACTCAAGGGTTAAATCATCACACCTAGCGTTAAATCATCACACCCGGGCTAAATCATCACACTCATGGGGTTAAATCATCACACTCATGGGGGTTAAATCATCACACTCATAAGCAAATCATCACACTCAAGGTTAAATCATCACCTCAAGGGTTAAATCATCACACTCAAGGTTAAATCATCATACTCATGGGGTTAAATCATCATATCATGGGTTAAATCATCATACTCAAGGGGTTAAGACAATAAGCGAAGGTGAAATCTTACTTGTTCACACACACGACTAAAACAATATACACACCGAGATCTAAGGTATTACTCACCTCTTCTGGTCAGTGCCCCGTGAAGGAAGGTCTCACCAGTTCCGATCTAATTCACCATCTTAAGTTAATTACCTTTATTAGTATGCAGGTGAGATCAACAAGAACCTAATTAGAATATTTATTTTTTTGTATTTGTGGATTTTTTTCTTTGGTGTAAATTTTTGACGATAAATGGCAGTGTTTATTGCGTTTCTGACATACACACAGAGCCACAGACAGATAGACACGGCTTCTTGTTTGCTCCATGAACACTGAAAACTACTGTACATTGAGAAACCAGCATGAGACACGGCCCTCACCACTCCACATCACCGAACACTACCTTATACCACCCAGCACCACCCCACACTCCAACACCAATTCACACCCGACACCCTACCCCAACACAACACTCAACAGCAATCCAGCATCACCAGACGAAGAAGCTGCAAGTCTTATCACTCCACCTCAACGCCAATAACACGGACCTTGAAGCCCTGAAATGTTATCCCTGGCGCCACTAACATGGAAAGGTGTACCTGGAGTAATCGCAAGGTGTATTATTGACCCGAGTGTAATAAACTTGGCAATATTAGAAACTGGAATGCTCAGGTGCGTTGTCCTAGACTTCACTACATTTACACTACAACCAATTCACGGTTATGACACACTGAGGGTCAGGTTATGACACACTGTGGAGGGTCGTACAGACACACCGTGAGGGTCGTGGTTATGACACACTGTGGGTGGTTAGGACACACTGTGGAGTGGTTATTACACACTGAGGAGGCTGCTGTGACACACTGAGGAGGGTCGGGTTATGACACACTGAGGGGAATCGCAGACACACTGAGGGAGGGTCGTGGTGACACACTGAGGGGAGGGTGGTGATACACACACTGAGGGGAGGGTCGTATATGACACACACTGAGGGGAGGGTCGGGTTATGACACACTGAGGGAGGTCGTGTTATGACACACTGGGGGAGGGTCGTGGTTATGACACACTGAGGGGAGGGTCGGTTATGACACACTGAGGGAGGGTCGTGGTTATGACACACTGAGGGAGGGCCGGTTATGACACTGTGGAGGGTCGTGGTTATGACACACTGAGGGGAGGGTCTGGTTATGACACACTGAGGGAGGGTCGTGGTTATGACACACTGAGGGAGGGTCGTGGTTATGACACACTGAGGGAGGGTCGTGGTTTATGACACACTGAGGGAGGGTCGTGGTTATGACACACTGAGGGAGGGTCGGTTATGACACACTGAGGGAGGGTCAGGTTATGACACACTAGGAGGGTCTGGTTATGACACACTGAGGGGAGGGTCGTGGTTATGACACACTAGGAGGGCCGTGGCACACACTGAGGGGAGGGTCATGCAGACACACTGAGGGAGGGTCGTGTTTATGACACACTGAGGGAGGTCGTGGGTTATGACACACACTGAGGGGAGGGTCGTGTTATGACACACTGAGGGGAGGGTCGTGGTTATGACACACTGAGGGAGGGTCAAGCAGACACACTGAGGCGTGGTATACACACTGAGGGAGGGTCGTGGTTATGACACACTGAGGGGAGGTCGTGGCATGACACACTGAGGAGGGCGTATGACACACTGTGGAGGGTCGTGGTTATGACACATCGGAGGGTCGTGGTTATGACACACTGTGGAGGGTCGTGGTTATGACACACTGTGGAGGGTCGGGTTATGACACACTGAGGGAGGGTCGTGGTTATGACACACTGAGGAGAGGGTCAAGCAGACACCAGGGAGGGTCGGTTGTGACACACTGAGGGGAGGTCGTGTTATGACACACTGTGAGGGTCGTGGTTATGACACACTGTGAGGGTCGTGGTTATGACACACTGAAAGGGAGGCCGTGGTTACACACTGGGGGAGGGTCG